GAATTTAAAAGTGATATAGGGCTAAAATTTTGAGGGCTGGTTAGTGGTTTGCCGGGTTTGACAATGTGACTATGTGAGCTAAGAGGAATTTGTGTGGCATCTGCTTTATGCGGACCTCTTCATTGAATAAGTTTGTTAGGTGTGGGGCTAATGTCACATGAGTTAGGGAATCCGTCTGGGCCTGGTGATTTGCCGGTGGGTAGGGTTTTGATGGTGCGCGGTACTTTGTCGCTCGTTATCGGGGCTGCCACGTCAGTTTGTTGTTTTGAGTTAGATGGGGCAGTTGTATCTTTGTAAAAAAGGTTTGTATGCCTTCCAGCATAGATTGGTGTGTGTGTGTCCCTATCAAGGTTGTAGAGGTTGGAGTAATACTGTGAAAACTCGTTGCTGACATAAGTTTCCTTCCGTCCTTCGTTAGCATGTATGCTCTCTGCTGTTTAGCTTGTCTCTGTTTTAGTATGTTGGCTAGTAATTTCCCTGCCCTGTTTCCCTAGGAATAGTGTGTTGCTTTCAATTTGCGCAGGCAGAACCCATTCCTAGTAAGTGCGTGTTGGTGAATCAGATGCTTAATTTGTCGAATCTGTGATTGTAGGTCAGGGGTCATGTAAGTTGGTGTTGGGTGTGTAAATTGTATGTTGAGTTGCTTTTGTCACAGGAGCAGTTGGGCTGTTGATGTCCTATGAAGGTGAGCTGCCTGTTTGATGAGTATGCCTCTAGCCACGGCTTTGTGCGTTAACCATATAGTGCTTGCAGGCTTATCTGGAGCTGCATTTGTGCTGAAGTACTCTCTTAGTTCTGTGGCTTGGGAGTTTATTACGTTTCCATGGGCTGTGGTGCTTAAAGTCATAGCGGTCTTTCAAAGTGACAGCGAGGGGAGTGTGGTCTGACCACAACATTGGCTCTATTGTGCCTGCCTTTCATGAGTATTCTGTCAATCCTTGAATATGTGTTGTGGATGTGTGAGTAGTGAGTGTAGTCACGTTCCTCCGTGTGTGTGGTGTCCCAAATGTCGTATAGCTGATGGGTAGCTAAAACTATTAAGAGGGTGGTACTTTGTCTTCTTAGTGGCAGAAGCCTTGGACTGTTACGTGGGAGTGTGGTGTCAAGAAGGGGGTCTAAAATATGATTCAAATCTCCACAGAGGAGTAGGATGCCTTGCTGAAGCGAGGTGGTTTTCCTTAAAATGGTTTGGATAAACTTTCGCTGATCTGTGTTTGGTGCATAGATATTTTTTTTTCAATTTGACAATTTTTATTGTTGATAAGAACAGGGGAGGGGGGGTACAGAAGAGAAGAAGGAGGGGGGGGGGTTTCCGTGTTACAGTATATGTCACTCGGTACAAGGCGACATAGCGTAGTAGCATAGTAGCTTGGTAAAACAGTAATGGTTTGGACAGTGGTATTAATAATATTGTTGTTAAGAAAAATAAGCCGCACAAAATTGCTTAGTGTAATTCTAGTCAATGCGCCCACACATGGGCTGGGGAGATCTGTGTAATTTGGAGTATACTTCCCCATGCGTAGCCTAATCCGATGCTCTTTCGCTTTGCGAACACAGTGGGTCAATACAATGCATACATGTTGCTATGGTACAGGAATGAGTCGCCTTACTCAGGGTTTGCCAATCTCCACGCGTCCCACACATCCCATGCTGTCGTCCCTGTACGGGTGGGTGGGCATATATTCGTGAAGCAACGCTCATAGAGCCTCTGCTCAGCTATTTCTGAGAGTACGTTTTGTATCTTAGGAGTGGTTGGAGATTTCCAGGCCCGCGCTATAAGGCGTTGAGCCGTTAGTGTTGTGTGGAAAATTAGTTTTTGGAGGTACTTAGGAGTGTGGGGGGGAGTGTGCAGTAGCAGGTACGTGAGCGGGTCTAGGGACAGTGTAAGTTTCGTGAGGTCTTGTAGGAAGGAGTGCACTGCTTCCCAAAAGGGTTTTATCAGTGAGCACGTCCACCAGATGTGTAAAACTGATCCGGTGTGTTCCCGACATCTCCAGCAGGTGGATGAAGCGGCGGGGTACATTTTAGAAAGCCGCTCCGGGACCATGTACCATCTGTAAATCATTTTTTTGTTCTGCTCCAGTAACGGTGCTGATTTAAGGAGGGTTCTGGGTGCGGTAGATAAAGTGTTCCACTCTTTGTGAGTGAGCTCAATGGTCAGATCTTCTGCCCATTGTCTAGCTGGCGTGGCCTCTGAGAGAGGTGTGAAGTCTAATAGCAATTGGTAACACGTGGAGATTGGCTTACATAGTGGGGGTAGTTTTTTATTTATACACATTTTTTCCCATGTTGTAAGTTGGTCGGTGGCGGTTTGGCTGGGCGGTACTTGTGTAGCTTGTTTGTACAGGAAAGAATGAAGTTGTCTGTAGGAAAAATGAGATGTCAGGGGGACACCGTGGAGTGAGTGTAGGGTGTGAAAGTCTAGGAGCTTTGAGTTAGCGTGGAATTGGCTTAAGTGTTGGAGCCCCTTCTCCTGCCACGGTTTAGCGTAGAAGGTGGGAATGCAGTATGTGAGAGCCGCTGTCGGTGTGGCTGGGGACAGAGGGCCGCTGGAGGTCAGTTTATGTCTGTGTGCGTCCCAAACTCGTATGAGTAGGGCGAGTTGGGAAGGGATATCTTTTAGGGGGGGGCGAAGCTGTTGCGGGAGCCATAGTATGTGGGTGATGTCATACGGAGTCATCATGAGCTTCTCAAGCCTGACCCATTGCGGGGGGCTTTGGTCAACAAAATGGGGGATGGCTGCTGCTAATATGGATGCGTGGTAATAGGTACGCACGTCAGGGACTGCTAAGCCTCCTGCTCTAGCTGGAGCTCGTAGGAGCTTCATTGAGATGCGGGGTTTACCTTTGTTCCAGATGAAGTTGGTGATATCGCTCTGTATCGCTTTAAAATAGGATTGTGGCATTGGTAATGGGAGGTTCCTAAAAATGTATTGTAACCTGGGGAGTATGGACATCTTAATCGCCACTATTCTCTCAGTCCAAGTCAGGAAGAGGGATCCCCATTTTGTCAGGGATTGTTTACACTCTGTCCAGACCCTGATATAGTTGGTTGCGCTTAGGTCAGCGCGGCGTCTGGAGAACATAACACCTAGGTATTTGATGTTATCCCGCCTCCATTCGAAAGGGTTTGTCATGCGTAGTGTTTCCGTCACTTGGGGGGGTAGGCCAATTCCCAGGGCTTGGGTTTTTGTGGTGTTCAGTGCGTAGTAGGAGCATAGGCCATATTCCTTGATGATGTGCATAATTACAGGGATCGTGGTCATGGGATCGGTGACATAAAGGAGGATATCATCCGCGAAGGCGCTAACTTTGTAATCTGTTCCCTTAATTTGGATCCCTTTGACGTCAGGATGGTTTCGAATGGTTTGCAGGAGGGGTTCTAACGCCAACATGTACAGCAGGGGGGATAGGGGGCACCCCTGCCTCGTTCCATTGGACAACTGAAACGGGTCAGACATAAAGCCTGCCTGTAGTACCTGGGCTGTCGGACCCGCATACAGAGCAAAAATTTGTGACTCGAACTGGGGGGGGAACCCATAGGCTCTCAAGGCTTGTTGCAGGAAGGGCCAGCTTAGGCGGTCAAAAGCTTTTTCGGCGTCAAGTGCTAGTAATAGACCGCCTCCTCTGGTCCCCCTGAGGTAATCCAGGATCAGCGACAGTTTCCTGGTATTATCTGTTCCCTGTCTTCCTTGTATGAACCCTGTCTGGTCATCCCCAATAAGGGATGGCAGGACCCTATTTAGTCTATTCGTTAGGATCTTCACATAGATCTTTGCATCTGAGTTTAGAAGCGATATAGGGCGGTAATTTTTACAGGTGTCCGGGGGTTTGTCGGGTTTCGGGATGGTTACTATGGTAGCCCGGAGCATCTCTGGTGGGAGCGCGCCCGTGGCAGTCGCCCTACGGTACACTTTTAGCAGGTGGGGGCCGAGGACGTGCGCAAATTTTTTGTAGTAGGCGTTTGGGAGCCCATCTGCTCCTGGTGTCTTCCCTTGTGGCAATTTGGCGATCGTTTCAAGCACCTCTGTGAGCTCAATGGGCCTGATTAGTGCTTCTGCCTGTACGCTCGTTAGTTGGGGGAGTTTGGCTTGGGATAAAAATTGGGTTATGTCGTCTAAGCTAGCATTGTGAGTGCTGCCCTCCTCCTTTAGGTTGTAAAGTTTAGAGTAGAAATGAGCGAATTCCTGGCTAATATCCATGGGTAACCTTCTTTAGTCCGTCGCCTCCCACCACGTGGGCTATCTTGGAGCTAGAGCATTGATTTCGTAGCCTGGCGGCTAAGTATTTAGTGGCTTTCCCACTATTGTGGTATACATTGGCTCTCAGTTTGTGGAGCATGCGCTTGGTTTTTTCTGTATTCAGCTCTTGCATTCGTGCGTAAAGCACTCTGAGCTGTTTCGCTAGGTCAGGGGTGGGCTTAGATTTATTCTGCCTAGAGATTATAGCTATTTGCCTAAGGCAATCAAGGAGGCCGGACGTATTCTGCTTCTTTAGGAAGGCGGCTCGTCTCAAGAAAAGCCCCCGTACTACTGCTTTATGCGCCGACCAAACCGTGTAGTCTGAGACCTCTCCTGTCGCGTTCAGCGCAAAGTATGCTTGGAGTTCTTCTCTTATGTGTTCCGCAAAGGGTGCATTGGACAACAGCGAATCATTTAGACGCCAGGACCCCCGGCCCCGAAATTGGAAAGTGTCTAGTAAGTTTAGATAGACGGGACCGTGGTCTGACCAGGATATTTCCCCTATGGTGCACTGCGTGAGTTGCGGCAGTAGTGTCCTGTGTAGGAGAAAGGTGTCTATGCGCGTGTATGTATTGTGGACTCTGGAGTGAAAAGTGTAATCCCTGTCTGTCGGGTGCATGGTCCTCCAGGCGTCGTATAGGTCGTATTGGTCAAGGAGTTTGGAGAGTGCTTTACATGATGTGTCCAGTCTCCGTTTGTTTGCGCCCGTGGGGGTTGCAGTAGTGTCTAGCCCTAGCGATTGTATGCAGTTAAAGTCTCCGCAGAGTATCAGGTCCCCTAACCTATAATCTTCGATTTTGCGCAGGAGGGAAGACAGAAAGTGGCGTGGTCGGTCGTTGGGCAGGTACGCTGCTACCAGCGTCAGTTGTGTATCGTTGAAACGACCCACCAGTATAACATATCTCCCCTCTGGGTCTATGTACTGTCGCTGTGGAGTGTAGGCTACATCTTTGTGGATAAAGATCGATACTCCCTTGGATTTTGTGGCAGAGAGAGAGTGCACTTGCATGGGGAATTGTCTAGTAAAGATAGCTGGGGGGTGGGTACGTTTGAAATGGGTCTCTTGTATGCAAGCTACGTCTATACCATTGGTTGTAAGGTCTTTAAGAAGGAGTCTGCGCTTGCCTGGGGAGTTCAAGCCATTCACATTATATGAGACTAGTTTCATACTTAATTATTTTGTGGGCAGGTACACTAGTGGTAGTAATTCCTATGCTTGCTACTAAAGCAGTGCTGGGCACAGTACGGTCGAATAGGCGTATTGGTGGAGGCTGCAATGTATAGTTTTCCTGGAGGGTGGGTTTCGAGGGGGACCCGTTGGTGGCCCCGAGTATGACTGGGTGGGAGGGGATAAACAGGGGGGTAACTAGGGGGGGGAGACAAACACGTGGGCAACCAGCCCTATCTTGCTTCCAGCTAGGAAGCCAAAATGCCCCGAGGAGAGCTCAGGCGCATGTGGTTGGGGTCGTGGGGGTGAGCGTCCTCTTTGAGGTGGTGGCTCACTGTGGTGGCGGCAAGGAGCGTTGCCATGCTAAAGATGAAGGGTGAGTAGTAGGCCTGAGGGGTTGTGCCTCCTTTAAAGCTTCGGGCAATGTGGGGGAGGAGGGTGAGCTCACAGTACTCCCCGAGTCTCATCTGCACCGGCAGGAGGTTCAATACATGGAACACATGAAAGGGTGCTACCCATGAACTGTGGGGGGGGGAGTGAGCGTCAGCACCCCCATGAAATCATAACCAAACATCTGAACAACATTCAAACCAAAATATGCATTATAATACACTGAGGGGAGGCGGGTGACCACTTAAGAGGTCAAAGATTTTACCGCAGTCCTTGGAGATGGCATTCCCCTCGTGTATCAGTTCACAGTCCACTCCGGGGAAAGTCTTGGGACCTTGGAAGGTAGATGTCGGTGTACTTCAGGCATTTGGAGGCCCCAGGATTGTAGCTTGGCGATTCCTAGTTCCAGTGTCGGAATGGCGTGTAGGGCATCTCTGTAGTGAATCAGGAGCTTGGCGGGGTAACCCCATCGGTAAGCGATGTTGTGGTCTCTCAGTGTGGTTGTCACTGGGGTTAGGTGGTGCATAGATATTGATTATCGTATATGTGACATTGTTGAAATTCCCTACCAACACAATATATCTACCATTGTCGTCTGTTTCCTGCGTGATCAAATCAAATGCTACGCGATGATTAATTAATATTGGTTTTGTTCAGGGAGGTGGACTGGAATTGGTGGGGGTATATTGAGGGCATTAAAGGACCACTATAGTGCCAGGAAAACATACTCGTTTTCCTGGCACTATAGTGCCCTGAGGGTGCCCTCACCCTCAGGGACCCCCTCCCGCCCGGCTCTGGAAGGGGGAAAGGGGTTAAAACTTACCTTTTTCCAGCGCCGGGCGGGGAGCTCTCCTCCTCCGATCCTCCTTCTCTCCGCCCCGTTGGCTGAATGCGCACGTGCGGCAAGAGCTGCGTGCGCATTCAGCCGGTCGCATAGGAAAGCATTATCAATGCTTTCCTATGGACGCTGGCGTGCTCTCACTGTGAAAATCACAGTGAGAAGCACGCAAGCGCCTCTAGCGGCTGTCAATGAGAAAGCCGCTAGAGGGAATGGGGGAAGGCTTAAACTATGTTTATAAAAAAATGGGTTAACCCTAGCTGGACCAGGCACCCAGACCACTTCATTAAGCTAAAGTGGTCTGGGTGCCTAGAGTGGTCCTTTAACTGTGGGTGTGCATTAGCTTTGAGATGCGTCTCTTGCAAGCAGACCACGTCTGCAGCATGCTGTTTGAGGTCTCTTCCTAAGTGGTGCCTTTGCACCAGGATGTTAAGGCGGGCCATGCCAGTATGTGAGAGTTAGCTTTGGTGGATCTACTGTGATAAAGTGAAGGCAGATAGGCCTTTTAACCCCAGGGGGAGTATGTGTAGGATGTGTTGTAGGCAACACAAAACACTGTTTAGTTATGGGCCCCTGGGGTGGAGCATTTGGAGAGAAGGGTGGGCCAATTCTCCACTCCACAGTTTAGTGGTTTTCTGGGGAGACATGGATCCAGGCCAGGGTTTTTTGGATCGTCTCCAACCCACTGCTCAGCTGCAGTTAATGAGCTGTTGCAGTGGGAATAAACTCCTCCCTGCTAGACAGGTAAAGGAGAGGGATTGCTGGCTTCCTCCCAGGAAGCAGGTAGGAGAGAGAGGCTGTTCTCTCCAGATAGAGTCAAGGAGACTAGGCACTTGGAGTGCAGAAAGGAAGCAGTCAGGGCAAGGCTGGCTTGGAGCACTGGGAGTGCAGAAAGGAAGCCGTCAGGGCAAGGCTGGCTTGGAGCACTTGGAGTGCAGAAAGGAAGCAGTCAGGGCAAGGCTGGCTTGGAGCACTGGGAGTGCAGAAAGGAAAGCAGTCAGGGCAAGGCTGGCTTGGAGCACTGGGAGTGCAGAAAGGAAAGCAGTCAAGGCAAGGCTGGCTTGGAGCACTGGGAGTGCAGAAAGGAAAGCAGTCAAGGCAAGGCTGGCTTGGAGCACTGGGAGTGGAGAAAGGAAAGCAACAGGCTAGCTAGCAGAGTGTTGCTATCTAGTAAGGTTGGTGCCATATGTTTTTGTTAGTTTAACCCTGATAGAGAGGGATATACAAAGTGAGTTAGTGCTCAGACGAGCTAGGTTTTTTGTTTATAGGGTTTTCTGTTACAGTTATGTTTTTCATTTACTGCTGTATCCTGTGTGGATTTTCAAATAAAGTGCATGGAGTATATGCAATTACAAGGACTGTGCATGTTTTTGCCCTAGAGGACCGTGCTACCTGGTGACAAGAATCACACTACTCATATGTTATCTACCAGCTCCAAGCTGTGTGCCAGGGTTTAAGGGCGATGGGCCGAAGATGGCAGAATCAGCGACTGTTTGACATTGGGGCGGAAATTGTGCTAGCTAGATAGAGTCATATACTTGCGGCTTTGAAAGTCACGGAAGTGGGAACAGTTTGTCGTCTTCTCGTTCCACTTCTTTTTTGCCTTTTCCACTCCACTGGTAGACGTGCTGTGTCCGGCGGAGCTTTTGCCACAGGTGAGGGCGAAATGCCCCAGCTTCGGAGGGTGCACAGGCCTTCTGTTCAGAGATGATCACTGCCGTTTTCCTATTATGCTGCACCAGTAGCTTTGTGGGGAATCCCCATCGGTACTCAAGGCGGTGTTCTCTCAGGGCCTCTCGTGATGGTACTGTCTGGTACTTCATGGTAAATCCTTTTTTGCTCTGCTCGCCTTCAGCACTAGGTCTTTGGCGTGATAATAGTGCTTTAGTAGAATATCCTGTGGGGTATCTTGTGGTAGAAACTGCAGTTTCACAACTCTGTGTATGCGATCCATAAGAAGCATTTCCACAGGTAAGTCTGGGGCCAACGCACGGAATAGCTCATTGGTATAGGCCTGGAGGTCAGACATGGTTAACGTCTCAGGGACAACTCTTAGACGGAGGTTACCCCGGCAAGAACGTCCTCCATATCGGCCAGCTTAGAGTCGTACCTTGCTACTTGGGAGGTAAGGTCTTCCACTTTGGCTACTAAGGGGGTGTGTGCCTCCGCGTGGTCCGCCATCTTAGCTTCGAGATCCGCGGTTCTCGTACCCAGTTCATGGATGTAATTTCTGTGGTCCCCAAATGATTTCTGAAGGGTTCCCTGGAGCTCTGCAGCCATATCATCAAACATGATCTGCAGACATTCTGGTGTGAGTACCGCTGCAGGCAACGGAAGGTCCCGGGCTTGATCCGAGTCGATATCAGCGCCATCTTGGCTATCTTCCAGGAGCAAGGCTGTCTTAGTAAGTCCTTGTTTTACTCCGAAAAAAATTGCCTTTCTACCCTGTCAGCCTGCGTCTTCCCTTTATGGTGGGACATGTTGAGTCTGGGAGCAGAATAGTTCTTATTTTGTTTGTTTTCTTGGTCTTTTTAGCAGTTAAAGGGTTGGATCTAGCAGAACATGCAACTACTCCCTGCAAGGTCCAGGACACGCCCCTCTGTCTGCATTCAATTTCTAACATTGCTTGTGGTCTCTTACATTGCCCATTTGTGTCTCCAAATGTCCCCTGCTATTTGGGTGGTTTTTGCAGATCTGATTTGTGTATTGGCCATTGTTTCACACATCCAGTTAGTGGATTTTTTTGGAATCAATTCGTCTCTTGAGGGTATCATGGTTGCTTTCTATCTTCTGCAATGCAAACTAAATACAAAGTCCTGCTGTGTGATCTAGAATCCACCAACACACTCTGACACCTGTGTGTTCACCTCTCTATACACACAAAATAAAAGTTATACATACATACAAAGAAGGTGGAGTGTGTAAAAGACAAAAAAAACATGGCCCAGGCCTAATGCAATTCAGTTAATTCTACTACAATAAACAGATTGACAACTCTAGAATGTGGTACTCACAAATATGGAGCCTATGTACAAGGCTCACCACAGGTGCAGGTGGGGAAGTTAGAAGGGATCCCACTCCCTTTGTGATGCTGTAGAAATATTCTTCTTGACCCAATAAGTTCACTGGACGTAATTTCCAAGATCAGGAAAAACTTTATGGGTAAAAAAAGGTATAAAACAAAAAACGTTTTAATAGTGGTATAATAAATAAAGTCCACGTTGAATACATTTGCAAGCTTTCCATCTTCTAGCTATCAGTGTATTGGCCACAATTAGAACCTGGAATAGCAGTTTGAGTTTGACTATAGCTAGGCGTTTTTGGCCCATGAAGAGGAGGCATAGCTCTGGAGTTAGAGGTATGTGTGTGGACAGTGTCTCATCGATAATATCAGAAAGTCCCAGTATCTTCGTAAATTGTGCACTGCCACAAGATATGGTGCATGGAGCCGACCTCAGTATGGCATCTCCAGCATTTATTCGAGGTACCAGGATATATGTGGACTAATCTCGCCGGGACCAGGTACCAGCGATATTGCAGTGTGACGACTGGGTACCTCCGCCAATCGATGCTTCCTAACTGACACTGAGGACCATAAGCACCGTACCGGACACCATAAGCACCGTAGAGCCCGCAAACCGCCGCAGCTTGGTTGGGGTCTCGCCATCTGTAATGGACCACCTGGCACCCTGACTGGGTACCTCCTCTAATTGATACTTCTTAGCTGACACTGAGGACCATAAGCACCGTACCGGACACCATAAGCACCGTAGACCCCACAAACTGCCGCAGCTTGATTGGGGTCTCGCCGTCTGTAATGGACCACCTGGCACCCCGACTTGGTACCTCCTCCAATTGATGCTTCCTAGCTGACGCTGAGGACCGTAAGTACCACACCAGACACCATAAGCACCATATACCCCACGAACCGCCGCAGCTTGGTTGGGGTCTCGTTGTCCTGGACCAAACTCCTGGATCCAGGGACTCAGTGGGAAGGCCTCTACTCCAGATAGTATAACTGTGAAGCTCTTACAAGAGCTAGTGATAATGCTGTGAAGCAGGTTCCCTACAAGCATGAGACAAGGCTACATGTTGAGGGTTAAGCAGGAACTGAATTTTAATGGGCCACACTAGCCTTTTATGACAATCCCCAGGCACGCTGTACATCCACATGGACCTTGTTGGGGACAAGGACACAAACTTACAAACCAATGATAATACGTTTACAATGTATGACACTCCCACATGCAATACAATAAGCCTTCCCCTTTAATTAGGAGATAATTGAGTCAAGCAATATACTAAACTCAATTATCTCCAAACACAAAAAAACACACATTTCTAAAAAGTCCCAAAAGTACCCCAAAACACATAGTATCTTACATCCCCTGAAAGCCCTGATCTGGGTGACCAACATATCCAAAAATCACCCAGATCAGTTCAGGGGTTCAGAAATTTTATGGAAGTCATATTTTTTAATGACCGCAGGCATGGTCCCATAGCCGAAAATAGTTCCATAAAATCGCGGCTGAAGTCTATTCGCGGTTTTGGTCCATGTGAACAAGATGGTTGCTACCTTGTGGTCGAATGGCACTTCAAATGGCTTTGCGAGTTCGGAGGTTCGGGAGTTCGAAGTGCCGCTTCGAAAGTTCGAATTGTGGCCATACAAGTACGAAAAGGCACATGGTGGTTTTAACCAGGATTTAACATAGGGGCCATAGCCACAGGGCAAGAGGTATGCCCCTCTAAGAACCTGTGACAAAGTCCAGTTCGTCACATGCAGTTTCCGAAGTAGCTCTAGATGTGATGTGCATGGAATGGTTCCCATGTGTGTAGTGTATGCCTCTTGACATTGTTCTTCAGTGAAGGTTTTGTTGAGTTCTTTGTGCCATGCTAACATGAACACTTCTTCTTGCCTAGTGTTGTGTGTAAGGAGTATGTGGTACGTGATCAACAGTATTTTCTTTTGTTGTTTCAGGTCAAGGCACAGAGCATAGGCGTGCACACGGGGTGTCCCCGCAGCACGACTATGGATTGAGACCGACAGGGGAGAGCTCAGGATCTCCCATGTCGGCTCATGCAGAGCCGGCGTTATCTGAGCGCCGGCTCTGCTCTAAGCCTCCATGGGCCGGTGGGGAGATCAAAGATCTCCCTTACCGACCCACAGCAGCATGGAGGGAGGCAGGAGAGGACCCGGGGAGCTCTAGCCCGCAGGCTAGAGTTCATTCTCCACTGGACCACCAGGGATGGCAGAAGCACTGTCCCCCTCCCTACATAAGGTAAGAAGGGAGGGGAGATATTAACTAATCTGCCCCCACCTCCAACCCCACAATCCCTCCAAACATACAGCACACACACACACACATACAGCACCCAAACATACAGCACCCACACACACAGCACCCACACACACAGCACCCACACACACAGCACCCACACACATACAGCACCCACACACACAGCACCCACACACATACAGCACCCACACACATACAGCACCCACACACATACAGCACCCACATACAGCACCCACACACAGCACCTACACACATACAGCACCCACACACATACAGCACCCTCACACACACACACAGCACCCTCACACACACAGTACACTAACAGCACCCTCACACACACACACACACACACACACAGCACTCTTACAAACACACAGCACCCTCACACAAAGCACACTGAGAGCACCCTCACAAACACACATAGCACCCTCACACACACACACAGCACACAAACAGCACCCTCACACACAGCACACTAACAGCATCCTCACAAACACATGACACCCACACACAGCACCCTCACACACACACACACACACAGCACCCTCACACAGCACACTAACAGGACCCTAACAAACACACACACAAACACCCTCACACACACAGCACACTACCAGTACCCTCACACACACACACACACACACACACAAACACCCTCACCCACATAGCACACTACCAGCACCCTCACACACACATCACACTAACAGCACCCTCACACACAGCACCCTTACACACACAGCACCCTCACACCACCCTCACACACACATAGCAGTGTATGTATGTGTGTGTGTGTGTGTGTGTATATATATATATATATATATATATATATACACACACACACACACATATACACGCGGCGTGTGTTTGTGCTTTAGGGTGCATACCCTAATGCAATAGGCTGCGCACGCCTATGGCACAGAGATTCAAATTTGGTCAAGGTGGGGGAAGATAGTGTCCGTGTCATTGATTGTAAGTGGGACTTAAGCTGTAGGAAGATGGCTCTGTGTGGTAATTGGTACAGTGCTTGGAGTTCTGGGGAAAAAATCCAGGTTGCTACTTTGTGAAAGTGAGTGATATGGGTGCAGCCACATTTGAGCCATAATGTGTAGTTGAATGAAGAGTTATTTAGGTATATGCTGTATAGAGAAGTGGCTTTTCTACAAAGGGTTTTATGGGTCATGTCCCAAATATGGAGAAGTAGTTTACTATTGTCTAACATATCCGGCCATGGAGGTCGCAAGCTTTTTTGGGTCCAGAATATATAGTGTAGCTTATGCTTGCAACACCAGTGTGATTCCAAATCTACCCATTGCGACGTCTCAATAGTGGAGTGTGCCGTTATTATTAATGATAATATGGCCACTTTGTAGTATAGCCAAACATCAGGGAGATTCAGAACCTGCTTGCGGAATTGGTTTTTGAAGGATTCTGGTGGCTACTCTTGGCTTTTTTACTGGACCAAATTATAGGTTGTTTAGGAAGTGTTTGGGAGCGGGAATTGTAGAGTTCATAATAAATAGTTATATTTTGGTAGCAATGTCATTTTTAAGGCCGCTAGTCAGCCGTGCCACTATAGAAATCCCCCTCCCAGCGTTGGAAAGTGTGTGTAAAGTCTTGTATTAATATGTCATAGTTCTGTTTGAGGAGGTTGTGTGTCATTTTGGTTATATTGATTCCCAGGAACGTGATAAACACGTCTCTCCTATCAAAGGGGTAATTAACTTTGAGGATATCTAGGGTGTGTTTATCTATGCCCATGCACATGGCCTGTGTTTTTGATATGTTGAGTTTGTAATATGATTGCTGTCCATATTCAGTGCCAGTTGACACCCCTGGCATGTCCCATTTGTTATCATAAATTGGTCTGAAAGGAAGCCTGCATTCAGTACCCGGGCAGCGGTCTTTGTGTATAATACCTTGACCGCTGAAAGGAATGTCTCTGGGATACAAAATTTGCGGAGCACTTCATCTAGGAATGTCCAATTCAGCCGGTCAAAAGCCTTCTCTGTGTCTACCAAGAGAAAGAGTCCCTTGGTGTTGTGTTTATAAATATTGTGTAAGATGTCTAGTACTTTGCTAAACCTTGTCTTCCCTTTGTAAATCCTACTTGATCGTTATGGATCAAGCTGGGTAGTATCTCTCCTAATCTAATTGCAAAAATTTTGGCAAACAGTTTCGTGTCTGACTTTAGTAGAGATATGTGCCTAAAATTTTGGGGGGAGGTAGGTTATTTGCTGGGTTTTGGTAACGTTACTATGTGGGCAAGTAAGATCTCTGGTAGCATTATCTTTGTAGTTATGGCTTCATTAAATAGGTCGGTTAAGTGCGGGGCTACGACTATTTGGAAGTTTTTATAATAAGAGTTTGCAAGTCCATCTAAACCTGGTGATTTGCCAATGGATAAGGTGCCTATAGTGTGTTGAACTTCCTCTATTGTTACCAGTGCTGATATGTCAAGTTGTTGTTGGGTAAATTGAGGTAGTTGGAATTTGGTGAGGTATTGTGTTAAGGCCTACTGTGTAGGTTGGTGTGTGGTTGTATCAAGTTTTAAATTATATTTTAAGTCCTTAGTAGTATTGAGAGAACTCATTGCTGATATCTGTTAGTGACATGAGTTTGTGTCCATCTTTTGTTATTAAGTATTGGATCTTTTGATTGGCCTGTTTCATTTTTAGCAAGCAGTTTCCCAGCTTTATTACCTTGGGAGTAGTGTGTGGCTTTCATTCTCCTAAGGTAGTAGCCCATTTTGGCTAGTGCCTGTTGTTGGATCTGTTGTTTAAGTTGTTTAATTTGTGTCTGTAGATCTGGTGTTGGAGTGAGTTGATGCTGCATGTTGAGGATTTATAGCTGCTTTTGCCAGAGAAGTGTTTGAGCTTTAAATCTTTTGTGCAGGAATGCAGCTCATCTAATGAGTATGCCTCTGATTATGGCTTTGTGGGCCAGATCTCAAAACTTTTATTGGAGAAAAACCCAAAATTATATATAGAGGAGCCAAAAATTAGAAAAAAGTATTAACAAAAAGTTATATTCCCGAAAAAGAAAAAAGAGACAAAGATATTCAGGGAAAGGCTCTTTTATAATTGTGGTCAGTGTAGTGCATGTAAAAATACAAAGGTTTTATCTAAAAAAACATAAACATTTTGCTCAAGTGTAGTTAATAGAGAATATAAAATAGAGGATTTTATTGATTGCAACAGAAATAATGTAATCTATCTCCTGACTTGCACATGTGGTCTAGAATATATAGGGAGAACCACAAGACCATTAAAAGTAAGGATTGGAGAACATATGAGGAATATCCAAAATAGAGTTTTAAATCATTTAGTCCCTGCACATTTTAATGAATTCCACAATGGTGATTTTTGATATATACACTTTATGGGGATATAAAGGGTTCAAAGGCCAGGGAGAGGGGGTGACCATATGAAGATCATAAATAAAATAGAGAGGAAATGGATGTTCGATATGAAAACCCTCTCCCCAAAGGGCTTAAATATAGACTTTGACCTTTGTAATTATATTTAAGAACAGCTTATGATGCTTTTATTGCTTTAATAATGTTTTAATATGAGAGTTTATTTTTAATATAAATTTTTACTCTTGCCCTTATTCTTCATTGCTCCCATTCTTCATTCATCTCCTATATATTTTGTATATCTATATATAAATATCTTTAATTATGATATTGAATGTATATTTAGACTGACTATACTTTTATCTATGTGTTGAGATACACGATTTGATTGATTATTATCTTTATTCATGCTTTTTCCCATAACCAAAATGGCGTGTGCTGCCTTTATGGGAATTATGGATGTTAATGAGATTGATGGTATGCGTCTGAGGCTGCCCCGTCCGGGTATGTGCTGGCATGGGGCACACTTCTCTGCAGTACGCATGTGCAGTGTACTGATGAATATTCCTACTTACAAGATTGCGGTCGGAGTTGGAGGGACTGCCTACACACAAGACGAGCAGTGAAAACTTCCAATCAGAAGGCCGAAACTGGATGGGACGCCATATTGGGAGAGGCAAACCAATATCCGATTCGGACCATATATGGAAGTTCCTGTCGATATTTTAGAATGATTGCACCTGTTTTATATTATGAATGGTTAGTATTAGGGTATATAACCCTGTTAGTTCAGTTGCTAGGTAGACTGCACCTGAGGAAGGCCTCTTTGAAGGTCGAAACGCGTTGTGCCTATTATAACCTTGGATTGTGACATACCAGTTACCTTACTGTAAGGTTTTTATGTTTATTTGTATTAAAAGTTATTGATTTTTATTCTAACTGATTGTGCATTTCCCATCTTTTACTACTGAGGACTGATCCACTTTCAATACTTCAGTGGAACTCCAGCATCACACCATAAAGCCATATTACTTGAGCCAGTTATATAGACAGGCTCAGAAAAATGTGAGTGTGATAATCATAAGATTTTATTTGTGACTGTCCCATATTATTGATACCATATTGCCCTATGAAAATATTCTGTTTTTTTCCTGCAGTGATACCTGCTACAGAACAGAGGGTATATATATATTAGACATGTGCAATTTGTTTCGGTCCGAATGTATATTCGGACGAATTTCGGCAATTCGGACATTCGGATGTCCGAAGTGCCGAAGTGTCGAAGTTCCGAAGTGGCCGAAGTTCCAAAGTGCTGAAGTGTTGAAGTTCCGAAGTGCTGATATCCCGAAGTTCCGAAGTTGTCGAAGTGCCGAAGTTCCGAAGTGTCGAAGTTCCGAAATTCCGAAGTGTCGAAGTGCCGATGTGTCAAAAGAAAACAAGAAAGAGGGAGGGAAAATTATGTGAATGATGACAGGAATCTCAACCAATAAGCTAATTCCTTTTGTGCAATGTAATTCTTGCTTGCCCAATCCGGTTTCACTATTCCCTGTCCAATTAAATTAGCTAATTTTTTGTTTGCTGTTAGAGGACAGCCAATTAATGGTGATTTTGTCACTGACACTCGGCCAATGAAAGCACACAGAGTCATTAAGGTGGAATAGCAATACATCAGGCTGTCAGTTGTTGGCTTGCATTCATGTGACCAGATGGCAGGCTAGTTGTGACAACATTCCATTTACTTTAATTCTTTTACAGAGCCACATTGCTTTTACGTGTGTGTTCCAGGGAGAGAGATAGAGAGATAAGGGGGAGAGAGAGTTAGATTTGCATTTTTTTATTCTGCAATCTGTCTGTATTCTGTTTTTATTTTTTTTTAAGAGGTGGCTGAGAGAGTGTGTGTCTTTGCAAGCAAGCCTGATAGCCAGAGTCAGTGTCTATCTGTGATTTTACTGAAGTAATTCATTTTGTGTTTTTTAGCTGTTGGCAGGTAGCCTGATTGATTGCCAGGGTGTCTCTCTGTTGCATTGTGATTCATTTTGTATTTTTTTAGTTTCTGTGATTTAATTTAAATAAAAAATGCATAACAAAAAATAAATCATAATGGACCGTCCACGTTCTCCAAGTCCTCACATTCTCCCCTCAAGCAAAGTGACTGAGGAAACTGGTAGCCGCCATTTCGCTGCTGGTAGTACCACTACTAGCTCCACCACCAGTACAGGTAGTGGTACACTTGCTTCCTCTTTAACTCACCTGAAGCAGAGGCAAATGAAACAGCACGAGCGGCTAGTGCTTCCAATTCCTGCAACCAAAGCCAGCAGTAGCACTAGAAAGAGTTCAAGCCGAGTTAGCCCACCTATGAAACTGAAGAGGGCAGAGAGGGAAACTGCAGGTCTCAATGTTCAGCCATTTGGCACCAAAAAGCAGCAGCAGATGCCTTCCAGTGGCAGGGTTGAGAGGTCCCCTATGTCCACAAAGCATCCACCATCCAAATCTCGTAGACAGCTGTTTACTCCTCTTACAACCACCAGTATTGCTAGTAGTGACAGTAGTACTTCTGCCAGCTCCGCTGCTATGTTTTACAGCAGCTGGGCAGTTTCAACACGGCCTTTTACCACTGCTCATCCATTTAGGCAGCCTAAGAGGGAGATATTGGAGTTAGAGGAGGAAAAAAATGCTAGTGCTACTCATGCCACCACCACTACTACCCCTGCTACTGCCACCATCTTTTATAGCAGCAGCAGTACAATAATTGATGACATAATACAAGGAGATATTGTAGTTCCCAGTTGCCAGAGAGAAGAGGGAATTGATCAGTTTGCCCCAATTTCAGCTGCTGGTGACATATCTTTGTTTCTCAGCAGCATAGATATGAACCAAGGCTCTAGTCTAGGAAATGAGCAACTAGAATATGATGATGAGCCTGAGGATCTCTCTTTGAAGACAGTCCACCACCACCCACTCAATCTCCCCTACTGATATCTGCCCCCCCAACTCCAGCAGTGCCAACTCTCCAGTTGATTGTGAAATTGCACAGTCTTCCCCACACAAAACCTAGTAGTGGCACTCGTCGTTCCACAGTGTGGGAAAATTTTTCAACAATTGGAGACGGCCGTCTGGCAAAATGTAAACTGTGTGGCAGGGAAGTCGGCCGTGGTAGGTGTTGGGTCATCTTACTAACTCTGGGATGAACCAACATCTTCGTACACACCACAAGGCCATCTTTCTAAGGCAGGAAAGCAGTGTGGCTCCTCCACCTAGCAGTACTAGGAGAAGTAGTAGTGCTACCACCACTAGCCATGACAAGAGGAAGGGGGATCATCGAACTTCTGCTGCAGGGCATAGTGCCACCAGTCATCCAATTCATGCTGCACAGCCTACCCTAGAAAGTTTTCATGGGTTTCACTGTAGGGGGATGTCCAGGCCGCAGTCCAGGAAAATTACTCGGCTCATTGCTGAGCTGATAGTTGTTGGAGGTGCCCCTTTTAACATGGTAGAAGGGAAGCCCTTCAAGCATCTTATGGCGGCTGTTTCACCGCATGTATGTAATTCCATCGCGCACAACTTTTAGCAGGAACATAGTGCCCTCACTCTACCGTTCCTGTGTTGCGGTGTTGAAGGAGCATCTGGCAAAGGCTGGTGGCCAGTCAGTGCACTTCACAACTGATTTGTGGAGTGCTCCTAGTGGCCAGCATGCTTTCCTGTCCTTGACAGGACATTGGTGGCAGCCCAAGGTGTCAGGAGATGTCACCACGTCATGCACAGAAAGAAAGCACTGCTCATTCCTCCTCCATGCTGAGATGATGGATGAACAACATAACTCAGCAAATATTTTGCAGGCACTAAAAAAGATGGTGGTGCAGTGGGTAGGACAGCAGGCAAACACACAGATGGGTTTTGTGGTGACTGACGGAGCAGCAAACATGGTGAAGGCTCTCCGTGATGGTAGCTTTGTAGCCGTGCGTTGCTCAGCTCATATCCTTCATTTAGTAGTGAAGGCTGCTATTGAACACGAAAGCAGTGGACGGTTGGCAACCCTGCTTGAGAAATGCAGAAAGATTGCTGGCCACTTCCACCATAGCGTGAAGGATAGCCAGCTCCTGAGAAATGAGCAAAAGAAGGCAGGCATTGACCAGCATTGTCTCAAAAAAGATGTAGGGACTAGGTGGAACTCCATTTTGGAGATGTTGGAGCGCATCCTGGAGCAGCAGAAAGCAATCAATGCCATGTCCTATGAGCATTACATCGGGATCGATAGCCCCTTAGTCAGGGAGGATTGGTTAATGATTGGGCAGCTAGTGGAAGTCCTTAGGCCATTCAGGGATGTTACGGAGATTTTAAGCCAAGAAAATACGAGCCTTGGTCAAGTAATTCCCTTGTTCACCCACCTCTCAAATAAGCTGAGTCGCTTAATTTCTAAAAAGAAAGTGGTACCTGGTGGCCAACTACTTGGGGATGTTGCTGCACTTGTTAGGAGGCTCGAGGAGCAACTAACACGTAGGTTCAATGAGCGCATAAAGTGTCTTGCCAAGAGTTGATGCTTGCGTGCATGTGTGATCCGAGAATAAAGGGCAAGATGGCTCCACATGAATTCCCTGACCGCTTGGAGGGATAAATTGATTGACGGGTCCCACCTACCAATCTTTTGAACCACCTGCGCCGGCATGCCAAGCCTAGAGGCCTCGGTAGCCGCCCCAATACGGAACGAATGGTCCCCGAACTCCCTGCTATCCAATCCTACGGCTTCCAGCCCCAAACGAAACACTCTAATAAACTGGAAATGGGAAAGGAAACTACCATCCCCGTGCACCAGGAGTGGCAGCGCAGGGGAAGGGCGCAGAGCACAATATTCCCCAAAGGACCAAACAGGACAGAACTAGGCGCCGCAGCAAGCGAACCACAGGGGGAGAGGAAGCAGACAGCTGGTTGATTGCCTGCACCACTCCTAAGTTGTCACAATGGAAGACCACCCGTCTATCCAACATCATGGAGCCCCACACTTCCAAAGCCACCAAGATAGGGAAGAGCTCCATAAACTCCAAGTTTCGAGTGGGCCCCGTCCCCTGCCAGGCCTCTGTCCAAGAGTCAGCGCACCATTTGGCACCCAGAATGGCTCCAAAGCCAGCCGAGCCCACCGCATCGGTGAACAAATGGAGGTCGGCGTTAGAGACCTTCGGGGCCTGCCAGTAGGACCTGCCATTTTAGGAAGCCAAAAAGGAATCCCAAATGGCCAAGTCAGCCCGCAAAGGCCGGGTAAGCCGGATAAAATGCCGCGGGTAAACAACCTCTGACGTTGCTGCCGCCAGGCGCCGATTAAAGATGCGCCCCATAGGCAGGATTCGACAGCAGAGACTGCAGGCAGCGCAGCTGTATCTTATGCCACCCCAAGGCCCGGGACACCGCTAGGCGCAGGTCCAAAACGTTATCCTGTGGCAGCCGACATTCCCCTGCCATCGAATCAATTTTGATGCCCAGAAAGCTCAGACAAGTGACCGGATCCACCGTCTTGTCGTGAGCTAACGGGACTCCGAAGCGCTGAAACACCTCCCCAAGAACCCGCAGCAGGAAGGCACAGACGTGTGATCCCGCCGGACCTACACACAGGAAATCATCTAGGTAGTGCAGGAGGGAAGCGACCCCAGCTTCCCTCCGCACCACCCATTCCAGAAAAGTGCTAAAGCACTCAAAATAGAAACAGGATAGCGAGCAACTCTGCATAGGGAGGCACATGTCCACGAAAAACTGGCCCTCAAAGGCGCACCCCAAAAGATGATGGCACTCCGGATGCACCGGGAGCAGCCGGAAAGTGGATTCCACATCCACCTTAGCCAGCAACGCCCCCTGGCCCGCCGCCCTTACCATGCGAACCGCCACATCGAAGGAAGCGTAGGAAACCCTACAAAGCTCAGCGGAAATGTCATCATTCACCGAACCCCCTCGTTCAAATGGTGAATCAAATGATACTTCCCGGGATGCTTCTTAGGCACCACACCCAAAGAAGAAACCCGCAAATTAGCCATCGGTGGGGTGGAGAACGGGCCGGCCATCCGCCCCAATGAGACCTCCTTATCCAACTTTTCCCGTACCACCTGAGGGAAAGCCTGCACGGATTTGAGGTTGCGTACGGAGAGCAGCGGAGGGCGCTCAGAGAACGGGATCCAAAACCCCTGCTCAAACCCCTCCACCATGATCTGCACCGCGGCCCGATTCCTATAAAGTTTGAGCCACGGGCACATCGCGTTTACGAGGACCGGAGTCGTCGCCCTTAGCCGTTTTCCCCCGCTTGAAACAGCGAGAGGCAGGATGGGCCCCGCCGCAGCCGGAGCACTCGTGCTTAAACCGGCATGAAGACCCCCACTTACAGAGACTGTCGTTAAATTTCCAACAACAGCCAGACCTTGGACCAGAGGCCGATGAGGAGGAAGGCGCGCCCCCACCGGCCCCCCAAGAAAGGACGAAAACACGGCTTGTTGAGGGGCTGGATGAGTCATGATGGAAAGCCAGAGGCCGATATCCATCTGATCCCATCGCAGTGAGGGATGTACTGCCAGCCGCTGTCGAAACTGCTCGTCGTATCTCCACCAACCCAGCCAAACATAGGTGCGACTGGCGTTCCAGATCGTGTCCTGATAACAGAACAGTGCGGAGCACTTGTGGGGAAACTTTTCCCCAACCATGCTGGCCAAGATAGAGAACGCCCGAATCCAGTTCCCAAAGGTCTTGGGAATTTTGCAAAAACTGTACTTCTCCCTATCCCTTTCCGACTCCTTACTGTCCTTGTCCGCCACGGGAGGAGCTCCATTGGTAGGAGAGAAAATATCTCTACAAATTCCCCTTTCCAAATTTTTTCCTTCGTTTCCTGCTTCAAGTGCAAGCCCAGAGGGCCAGACCAGCACATGTAAGCAGCACCCCGCGCTACGTCTGAGACCCCCCCTTCGAGACAAGCATCACCCGAGGCGGAACCAACACTGGCCACCGCGGGTGCCGGGGAACCCAGAGGCACCGTACCGCCACCCGTCCCGAGCAGAGACCCAGGAGGGGGAGAAGCCTGAACATTAGGAGGGAGCAGGGCCGGGGACCAAGCCGACCGGAGTTGACCATCAATAGAAGCGACCCCACTAACCGCCATCCCCCGCTCCCACTGATCAAAAAAAACCCTAAGACCCGAGAGGAACCCTCCCAACCCGGGACTCGCAGCGCCAGAAGCGTAGGGAACAAAGTACTTACTGGTCGCAGACTGGCGATCCAAGCATGGCACTGCGCTCACAGAAGATAAAGAATCAGCAGTTCCAGCATCCACAGAAGACATCAGCTGTGTTCCAGGCACCACCTCCTGGATGGGTCCATGAACTGCAGCAGTATCCTGAGAAGAGAGCAGCAGAGAAGACGTGAGCCCATGCCCCAGAGGAGATGGCCGAGGTAAGTGACCTGCGGGGGGGGGGCCCAGACAGGCAAAGGGGAAGCACAATAGAGGAGGAGGCAGCCAGGGAGGGGTAGAAACCAGATGGGGGGAGGCAAAACAGAGGGGGGGGGAGCATGGAGAAGAGGGGCAGGCCCACCAGAGGGGGTGGGGAACAGAGGACACTGGGAAAGAGGAGGGGGAACCAGGGGGCCCAGCCAAGGGTAAGCTGGGCCCCCTGGAAGAAGAAAAAGAAGTAACAGGGGAAGGAGGGGGAACAGGGGAGACAGAGCCCTGGGAGCCTTCCTCACTGGCAGAGGAGGCTCCCGATGGGCAAAGGGACCCCCCCCCGGATCCCCAAAGGCGGTACCACGGTACCCCGCCCGGCCCGCAAGGGCCCACTCACCACCCTACCCCCCCCCCCCGCCGGACGCAGGAGGACATGGACTGCATCCGCCGCCCACCGCCCCCGGCCCGCGATCCTCCGGCAGCCGGGGCGGATGGTGTGGAGAGGGGAAGAAGAGTAGGCCGCGCGGCAGCCGCACCAGCAGGCCGTGCGACAGTGGCAGGCCTCGTGGCTGAAGGCCGTGCCACGCGCGTGGCCGCAGATCCCGCAGAGCCCAGGGGCAGGGGCCGCATGGGAGGCAGCAGGGGAGACCGCAGGGGGTGCTCCAGGGGAGGGTAGGCCACGGGGGGGCACACACCAGCAGCCATACCTCAACTAATGTTCTGGAATTGCTCCCTTAGTTGCCGGCCACCATCCAGCGCAGCAACATCCCTGAGGGATGCCAGGATCGCCTCAACATCCATCACCTCAAGCTGTGTCAATCTGCAGGCCCAGGCAAACAGGAGAAGGAGGACAGGAAGCTGTTTGCTGGCCCTTATCCCAAGTGGCACTGAGGTAAGACCTCCCACACACTAACTCACATTAAACCTAACCCCTCCAACACACACTTCCCAAGTCACTCCCCTGCATCTATCCCCACACTCCTACATGTGCCCTTGTCTGCTTAGCTGCGCTATCTCCCCAGGGCCTTAACAGCCATTGCCGTGGACTTTTTTCCAACTTGGATATGACTTGGATATGCTTTGTGACCCAACGAGAGACAGGAGGATTCCCTGACCGATAGTTGGTTGGTAAGTAATGGTATGAATGTCAACAACACGTCAGGCAATGACATTCCAATCACCTGCACTCTTATCACTACTCGCATGCAGTAACACACCCAGTAAGCTTGATCCCAAACACACCTGTGCAATTCACCATTGCTGTGGATAAGGTATAACACTATTCTAACACTAAATAAGTTATGCATGCACACAGCAGCCACAGCTTCTATATTTTTATGTCCAATATCCATGCTGCACTGCTTCTTGCTTTTACTTGTGCACAACCTGCCCTGGGTTTAGTGCACTGGTCACACACAAATTAAGCTTTCACTGAACTGCTTCCAATCGCTATAAAGTTGGGAGAGGCAAGTGTACTTCCCATTCACACTATAAACTGTCATGACAATCCTCCGCACTCTTCCCATATGTATATTCACAACAATTCCTATCTCCAACAGGCGACACGAGATATGGATTCAAGGCCTGGCTGCTCACTTGTCACACAGCATCTTTGTCTTGCCGAGCAAGCCTACAATGAGACCTGGTACGTAATTAACTGAACCTTTAGATCACACTTGTGTGGCCCTGCTATACTCTCCTCAAAAGGTCGCTGGCATTGTCATTGACTGCTGTTGCCAACATACTCTGGTGCATCAGGGGATTTGTTCAGAATCATACATGAAGACTTCCAAGGTAAATAACCTTTTTTGATCATAAGCGTGTGTAGATGGGCCACAGACAGGCCTTTACCCCCTCTCCCTCCATGTCCCCCTTCCTTTTCTCTCTCTCTTCCCCCCTCCCACCTCACTCTGATCTTCACACAAGATATTGATTTACAACCATCTGGTGCCTATTTTCTAACACACCTGTGTCTTATCTGCACCATGTCGCTTTAACCCCTGTATCACAACTCAACTTTGAATTCTATGCGTCGTCAGAAATGCTTCAGACTTGAGAAAGGAGGTTCTCCCGAAAGCTTTTCATTAATAAAAATCTATTAGTCCAATAAAAAAGGTATTACAAGATACAAATTTTATCTTTTTTACATCTACATCACTGGACTCATACGGCTACAATCTCTACTTTAATACTTAAAAAGACACTATAGTTACCAGAACAACAACAGCTTAATGTAGTTGTTATGGTGAGTATAATAGCTCCCTTCAGGCATTTTCATGCAAACACTGCCTTTTCAGAGAAAAAGCAGTGCTTGCATTGCCCCTAGGGACACCTCCAAGTGGCCATTTGTCAGATGGTCACTGGAGGTGCTTCCTGGCTCAGTGCTGCACAGTAGGCAGCAGTTCTGTTCAGCATCTCCACGCTCTGCATGGGAACGCTGAATTTTTCTCATAGAGGTGCATTGATTGAAGCCATTTCTATGAGGAGGTGCTGATTGGCCAAAACAGGGCGTTTGGCCATGCTGATTTTAGCCCGTCCAAAGCTCTCCCATGGATTGGCTAAACATTGTCAATTTTTATGCCACCAAGGGGGCGGGGCAGCACAGTCGGACCCATGAAGAGTTGGAAATAAGGTGAGTTTTACATTTTTATAAGGGGGCAAGCCACCTAAATGGTGGGTTTAACACTATATGGTCAGGAATACATGTTTGTGTTCCTGACCCTATAGTGTTCCTTTAACCAGATAAGTTATGAATTGAAAAGAAGAAACCACAATAATCAATAAATAAAATATGTTTTATTATACAATGAAACTATATATATATATATATATTATATATATATATTTATATTTAAGATGGAAATAAAAAATATCATATACAATCAAAAATTTTGTATATACACACACATCTAAAAATATAATTCACAATTTAAAAAATTTACATTGTGCATTGAAAAGCTGTTCCCTTTCAATATATGTTTATTTTACATATACACAAGAGCCGTTATCTTTATAATAAATAAATATATATTTTGTTAAGTGCAGTTTAGGAATGAAAATGTTGCTCAGAGTGCTTCGTTAATGAACAATACATCTCTTAGAAAAAAAATGAAACTAAGGCTATGCATTTATAGAAACATAGACTGTGACGGCAGATAAACTTGTACAATTTTGAAAATTAGGTCATGTAATTCAATAAGGCCAACAGACCTCATGACACATGGTGCCAGGATAAATACTAAGCATGTTTGATTTTGTGGTTAGTACTAGTACAATAGTTTTTTTTAAACATTCGTGACACCAATTACAAAGTGGCTGACAAAGCACATGACTAACTAGTACTACTAACCAGTAGAGAGGATAACAAGCCTAAAAGCATGGATGCAGCACACGCATAGAATGATATTGGGTATGATAAAGGACATTCAAAGATTTAGTTTTTAAATTATATAGTGGGAATTTTTGGTCATTAATAGTGAAGTCCTGAACGGTTCGCCACGAACGGTTCGCCGCGGACTCATCATTGAGTAAACTTTGACCCTATACCTCACAGTCAGCAGACACATTCCAGCCAATCAGCAGCAGACCCTCCCTTCCAGACCCTCCCACCTCCTGGACAGCTCACTTAAAATGCAGCTTCACAATGGATGTAAAATGGATGCTGTCCAGGAGATGGGAGGGTCTGGGAGGGAGGGTCTGCTGGTGATTGGCTGGAATGTGTCTGCTGACTGTGAGGTACAGGGTCAAAGTTTACTCAATGATGAGTCCGCAGGGAACCGTTCTTGGCGAACCGTTCGGCGAACCGTTCGGGACATCACTAGTCATTAAGCATAAAAACCAACATGGCTGGCAGACCATATGATATATAGGCTTCACAATGCAAATTGCAGAGCACACCATAACTTATCACCACATTGTTGTAAAGAATGTTTGATTCTGAAGTTTTTTACAAATGCACTGTAATATCGGTTAAGATTTTAATACAGTTGCCAGTCAAACCACATAACTAATTGACCTTTACAGGTGAAACGAGCATAAGAGCATGCACACAGCAAGTGCATAAAGCTAGCATACAACGTATTATACATTTTACATGATCGTCAAAGTAAAAAATGACCTTTGTGACCTTGTACCCCTATGTGACCTATGGCATGGTTATTGCATAATCACATTTTTTAACAATAAATGTTATAGTTCAGTAGTGAAATATATGCACCTTCATGCAATTGGCGTGAATATGTGTGCCAAATTTCACATTGTCCTAACAACTGGTTTCAGCTTAAAATGTTCTTGCATGAAAAGTTTCAAATACCATTTCTTGCATGACTATGTCACAACAACATAACCATGCACAGCAATATGTAAATCTGTAGCACAAATGGTTCTGGAAAAGCAGATGTTTTATGGGACCTATGACTATTTGGTTGCAGAGGATATAGAGCACCATAGGACTCTAAAAGAAAATAAAAACAAACAAAAAGGGGGCGTGCACGGGCACTTTTCGTTTAATTTACTGGGTCCCGAGGCCCTTGTCTCCGCCGGTGGCTGCCTTCTCTGGTCCCTGGCGGAATCATCGGGGATGGTCCTGGCGGGGTGGAGGATATCGGTTCGGACTCCGATGATCCAGACGATGGAGAAACACGACGCACAATTTCATCAATACTGGAAACTCTCATGTGCTCCATCGTCTGGCGCTGCTCTATGCTGACCCGGGACACCACACCATTTCGGTCGACAAGCTAAGACTCATGATGGCCCGGGTCTGCCTCCTTTTGGCCCGAACCATATCCTCCATCAGCTCCTCCATTCACCACATGGATCCTCCTGGGCCAGGTGATGACTCTGACTGGAGAGGTGGCAGTGGCTGGACAGGTGGCGGTGTGCTTGGTGGTTCTTGAGTAGTCACACTGTGGGCAGTCTCAAAGACAGACCCTGGACCCATTTCCTCCTCCAGGGAGTTGGCAATAGATTCTGAGGACAGCGCCGCCTCAATCACACTGTCCTCATGTGACGGTAGGACAGGTAACTGAAGCGAGCTGCCCTCTTCGTCTCTCCCAACAGACTGCATTGGACCTGAAATAGACGAGATAGGCAATGTTATTAATATGCACACAAATTGATTTGTGGACATGTTGTAGACATTACTACATGTGGCTGTGTCACTACTATCTTTTTAATAATCTATAGTGTATTTTTTTTTAATTTAAAAACAAAAGTGTTACTCTTGGAAATATTGAAACTTCTATCTAAGGCGGATTTATAGCAATGCTAATCATTGCTAATTGTGCAAATTTGTATTCCTAACGCTATAGAGCCCTAGTCACCGTTTATAAATTAACTATTTATTTGCTTACCTTAATCCAGCGCCCTGCTCCCTCGGCACTGGTGACCTCTCCATTGACGTCAGCTTCCGAGTGGAGCCGAAAGCGCATGTGCCGCCAGAAAAGTGCGACTTTTTTTTTTTTTTTTTTACTCCATGTAAATCGTGGAAGCGGCCTCTAGTGGCTGTCAAGCAGACAACCCCTAGAGGCTGGATTAAGCCTGCAGTGTAAACATAGCAGTTTCTCTAGGGGTACCTGCACCCAGACCACTGCATTGAGCTGAAGTGGTCTGGGTGCCTACAGTGGTCATTTTAGGAGATAAAAATTGTATCTGGTTAAAAAGATACAGTAACTCTGCTGTATAATATCTATGTATACACTTGTATGATATTTTCTGTATATAAAATGGCATATACAAAATTACTATTGGAATATTGATGCGCAAAATTACTATTGGAATGCTGATTTAGATTTTTAAACTTTACAATCTAAAAATGCTAGAGATATTTCCTTCAGAATAAGTAGCCTTAAGAGGCGGAGAGGGACATCAGCAGACTGAATAGTAGCGATTTTAACAGCACAACATTAAAGCATTTATAATTGTAATTTAAATCAGAATTGAACTGTGATCTTAGTACTACCTGAGAATGTATAATTGTCTGATAACTAGTGTTAGAGCTGATTGAGAGAGATTGTGCGTGTGTGTGTGTGTGAAGATAGATTCGGATTATGAACGACTTTAAAGTGTTTTATATGGTAAGGACTCCTCATTGTGTGTAATGCATAGGTAATAATGGCGTGTCATGTTTAGATGCAGTTTCTACTTACGTAGACGAGAAATGGGGCCAGGTCGCCTTTCAGAGGGTGTCCCTTGTGGGATACGGAAGTCTGTTAAAGATGGATGAAAAGTGCACATAAGGTATCCAATAATTAAAATAAAAATAGGCAAATTTTTATTATTACATATTTAAGAATTAAAAAGTGCATTAACCCCTTAAGGACCAAACTTCTGGAATAAAAGGGAATCATGACATGTCACACATGTCATGTGTCCTTAAGGGGTTAAAGGGATTCCCTATATTAGTTTTCCATATTAGTTTTCCTGGCACTGC